TCAAAGGCGGTCCGTGAACGAAACTAAAAAATTGAAGATTTTTTCGGTGTTCCGGATTGAAGCACAAAGTTTATGCCACATGTTAAGGGGGGAGTTTTGGCAAGAAAAATTCTGAATAGAGCACATTCTCTTTCCATGAAGGTTTTATAATTAAATTTCGATTATAAAAAGGGTGAGAAATTTATATGGAAATTTGAACTTGAATTTTTCATATTACGCGGATTTGAAGACCGAAGCGACCTTGAATTTTTGAAGTTTAGGAAATGATGCAATTGGAAGTTTGGAAGTGATTTCGTTTCGAAATGGGTTTGGTTTTATTGAAGATTTTCGGGGTGTGTTTTTATGCTCAACTTTTGGGTGATTATTTGGAGTTTGAGAAGCTCTTGATCATTCGTTGATGCTCGGTTTGTATGGTCTGACATCCTAGAGCCCAAATTGAAGAATCATGGAAGAATTGAAGATTGAAGTTCGTTTCAACATGTGTCACCCTTGAGGCTCGGATCGCGTAGTTGCTCGATTTTGGAAGATTTGAAGTGGGTCATTCATTCCTAACTTTGAGGGGGAGAATGTTGGGGTACAAAGTTTTAAATGAATGACTTTGTAATGTTTGACTTTTGTACAACCCACTTGCATTTGGTGCATTAGCCTTGTGACATGAGATAGAGAGTGAGAGAGAGACATGTAAACACCTCTATATAAGGTGGGTTTAGTCCACTTGTAGAGGTGTGCGTGAGAGATGTAAAAGTTGAGTGTGTAAGTGTGTGTTATTTATGTAGACTAGATCTAGATCCCTTTTTGTAACACAATACATAATCAATACATCTCTTGAACACCCAAACACCATGTTCATTGTGCAATCTTTAATTCCGCATGCCAACCCATGTTCTTTAGTCACTACAATAACATTCATAAAAGCCGAGTGTGGTCGACGTATTTATAAAAGTATAAATTACTCGCTTTTATAGAGAAATGTATTTCAACATAACGAACTTGTATATGTGTGTAAAGCCTTATGCATAAAAGTATTCATGTGTAGTAGTCTTTGAAACTTTGAAATACTTTAGACTTGTAGCATGTATCCTATGCGACTTATGTATTTTGTATCATAAATACTATTCAGCACATGTATTCTTCCCCAAAACGAATAAATATAAAAGAGGGGTTGTAACTCTCACCTCAATATGCGTTTAGCGATTCGTTTTTGAGTGTTAGATGCGAGAACCGAGAGGCGTTGTTGTGAATTTGATCTCCCGAGTTTAGCTTAGCTTTGATAAATGATAAGACTGTAGAAGCCTTTGGTGATGATGGAAGATACCCAAAGTGGTAGAAATTCCGAGGTGTAGAAGTTCCGAGGTGAAAAGATTCGAGACTTGTTGAACTTCTGAGACTAGAAAAATCCGAAACTGGTGGAAATCCGAAGGTTGAAAGATCCGAAATGGGTTGAGATTTCGAAAGGGGTTAAGATTCCGAGATGGGTTAAGATCCGAAATGGGTTAAGATTCCAAAATGAGTAGGTTCCGAAGCAGAAAGAAATTCCGAAGCTGATGGGTTCCGAAGAGGGCTGTATTCCGAAATAGGAAAGGATCCGGAGAGTCAGAATTCTGAAATTGAAGAAGGAAGTTCTGAAATAGGCAGGATTCCGAAATTGAAGAGCGGTTTCCGATTTTCTTTTCTCATGTTTCGAGTTGATCACAACAAAAGGAACGATTGGGGTGATATGTATGTTTAAGGGAGAGGTTGTAAGCGTGGTGTAGAGTGATTTTAGGATGGTGGGATTAAGGTGTAGGTTTTGTTTCTAAAAGAGATTCGGGAGAGATTTGCAAGAGACTTGGGAGAGATTTGAGGGATATTTGTAAGAGGCTTGAGAGATTTGAGAGATAGGATGAATGAGCTGAGATGGTGAGGAATGAAGGAGGAGATGAGCTCTATTTATTGTAGGAGGAAACACTCTCCCTGGCCAAGGAGGCCATACTCTCCAAATCAAATCATGTACTATGAATGTACCTTTGGGATGGAGTGTAAGCAAAGAAAAAGAGGGAAGGGAGAAGGCACGTGGGAAATCAGGAAAGGGCTGATGATTTATCCTTCCAAATCTAATGCGTCCCACCCAAGGGTTACATCCTTATTAATGGCTCAAAAGTACACATAGTCGGGTGCGTCGAGATCCGGATGTCGAGAATCTTTTTCGAACGTGCCAATAGATTGGATTTAATTCAAGGATTTCAAAAACTCAAACAGACTAATTTTTGGGATTACGGAACTCTGGGAAATCGCGTTCGAAGTTTTGCGTCTAAAAGGCTCACGGTGTCCGTTTTCGCGACTTTTGTAAATATTTTTACCAAAAATATTTTGAGTATGAAATTAAATAATAGACTATAGTTTGATTCCAAAAACGCTCTTATAAATTTTGTCGGCGATGCGTAAGTACCTCAACACTGTGAAATAGTTTACTTAAAACAAGTAAAACCAGTGTTATACCGATTTGGTTTCTTAAAACTATCGTATCTTTTGCATACGAACTCCATTTTGGACGTTCTTTATATTGTTGGAATTAGGGAAAACATGTACTATAATATTTTAATATTTTTTTGCTCGAAACTGTTTAATGCCAAAAATGTAGTTTTTCAGATGCATTAATTTGATTGTAGTTTTAACGGTTTGGTTCGATTGATAGTTACGCATTTGAAAGTAAGTTATCGTTTTGGCATCATATAATACTTGAAAAGAATTAATTTGTTTTACTTTCGATGTACTAAAATCGGATGATTTAAATTTCAAAAAGGTTCGTTGTAATTTAGTCGCTCGTAGTATGTGCCCTAAATTCCGGGATGTCACAAACCCCCACGAATCCTTTTCAATGAATCCATCTCGAAAGTCTTCAAGATAATCTAGCTGATCATAAGGTTTGACACTTGTGTTCCTTTTCAATGCTCCTTCCACTTCAACATCCATCTGCATAACTTCAAGCAGTAAAGTCTAAAAATTCGCTTCAAATGCTAGAGTTGAGATGCGAATTTTGATCATGTTTCTATAAAATACCAAATAGCACAATCCAATCATAGGGGTTCATGATCTGAAGATTAGCAAATGAGAATTTATATTTTTCTTTGTTTGTTCCCCGCAACACTGTGAACTTGTAGTTCGTATATCCGTCAACTCTTATCTCTTCAATCTTTGTAACAGCCCCAATCTTATTCAAACTACAGACTTCATATTCTGGCTTTGAATAAGTAACAAAAAACTTGAAAAGCTTTTTGTTCACAATAATATTCGATAAAGGCACTCTAGAAATCTTTTGAAAACATTTGAAAAGAAGTGCTCTCCGTGTCATCGAAAGATCTAATTGGACATCCCTTGTATTATCAACAAAATATTATGAACTTGGATTAAGCCAATATTTTTCAACATTTTTGATGACTTCATTCTATATTCTCTCAACTGTCCATTCAGGCCATAGTGCTCTTAATGTTGTTTTAGTTTCTTCATTTTCTCTTTTCTCTACGTCATGTCTGTCCAACTCAATTTGAAGTTGCCTCATTCTTTCCAATTCTTCATCCTTTTCCAGTTGAGCTTCTTTCTCATCTTATGTATCACTTGGATCAACTTCATTATGTGAAATAATTCTCACAGAACCTGTTCCTACATCTCCTCCCACGTTCATTGGAAATTCAGGAGTGATATCTTCTAATCTCCTTTTCAGTGATTTGTCAGTAATTGTAAATTTTAGAGCATCAAACTTCTTGACCATAGGAGGAAATACATATGGATTTGTAATATTAACTTTAAAAACATCTTCTTGAGCAACTCCATCTCCTATTTGTTGTGAAGTAGCCCTACTACTTGTAACACCAACACAAGCTTTATAGTGAAAAATGATAGGATTGAGTTTCACATCCAACATTTGAGACATATAGTTGACAAGAGGAGCATCTTTCTCTTCCAATATGTGAATAAGTCGTTGGTTAATCTCAAAATTTTCTTCCTTTAACAAGAAACAATTATTCATCATTTTCTCACAAATTTTCTTTTCACCTGTCTCAATTCCAACTTGAGAGACTTGACTTTATTCTCTTTTTCTACCAAAAGATCTGCCAATTTTGCTTCCAAATCATAATGCTTAACAAGAGTATTGATAGCACCACTAATTTTCTGATGATGATTCGTATTATAAGATATAATCGAAGCGTTCAGAGTTTGAACCTGTGTGAGAACATAATCAACCTTTGTTAAAGCCATATTAGCTATAGAAAGAGCTTCTATGGCTTTTTCAGTAGTTTTAATGATCAAATTTTCCTGAGCATCAAATAAATTCTTTCTCTTCGAAAGAATAGATTTCATTATGAATTCATGTACAATCATTAAATTCTGAAAATTTGTTGAAGAAAGAGAATATTCTCTACGAACAAGAGCATTGAGTTTCTGATTCATCATCTGATACTCTTCTTTGTAATAGGATAACTGGCAGTATCATAATCTAAATCACACTTATCATCTAAAAGAGATGGATCTAAGCCTAGTTCAACGAATGGTTGAAAAGATCTAGTAAATTCAACTTCTTCATCATCAGGAACTACGAACTCATCATCAACTCATGATGTACTATCTTCATTCTGAACAAGAGGATTTTGATCAGGTTCAGAAGCTGGAATATCATTAAATGATGGCGGAATAGTTTTACTTTGTGGTTGTTTGGTAGAATTGGTGAATATTGGAGTTTGAATTTAAATTGTTGTTTGAGTAGATGAAACTAGTGGAATGGGAATTTGAATTATAGTGGATTGAAGTTGAGAAGTTATTGTTGGTGGTGAAAGAGGTGGAACATGTGCTTATTGGGTTTAAGAAATATTAACAATGGGTTCATTCATGATAGTTTAAAAAATATCATTCCCACTCTGAATAGGTATCAGAATTGAAGTGTTCGTAGAAACAATATAAACCTTTATAAGTTGTGAAGACTCAGGATTCACAATTTGAGTTTGTACACCTGTAGTAGATGGTTGCTATGATGTATGGGGATTAGAAGATCTCATAGTATCTTCATTGATTGTATCATCCTCAAGATGAAGATCATTAACAGTATTATCACCATCTTCTTCATAAACAACTGAAACCATTGCTTTCCTCTTTAATTTCCTTTGAGACCTTGGCTTCGCAGGAACATCTTCCTTAACAACCTTTTCTTTTTGTTTTCCACCAGCTCTAATCATTAACAGTATTATCATCATCTTCTTCATAAACAACTGAAACCTTTGCTTTCCTCTTTAATTTCCTTTGAGACCTTGGCTTCGCAGGAACATCTTCCTTAACAACCTTTTCTTTTTGTTTTCCACCAGCTCTATGTTGAACATTTCCATCCTCCAAAGCAGCTTACATAGAAGGTGTCACATATCTTTCACCAAGCTTGGGAACCTTCTTGTAAACTGAAATTATCTCGTTTTTCACAAACACATTATCCAACATCACATCTGGAATTGCCCCAATGTAATGAAAGTTCTTCACATATGTTGTGACAAATGTATCAGTATTCAATATTGAGAACTTTGCGAGTTATACATCTGCAATATTGTGGGACTTTGAAGTGATTACGAGCATTCTTTACAACAATTGACCTAAATCAGTATTCTTATTTGTATACAATGCGTATAACAGAGTATGGAACAGTTTGTTGGCATTAACAGATCTTGTAATACGTTTTGAAAAACATCTTAACAATATGGTGAAAAGAGTACTCCAAACAGGTGGAAATGAAGACTTCTTAAAATTTGACAAGACAAACAAATCATCTTTATACCCTATTTGATGATAAATCCTAATTATGCTAAAAAAGAAACCAAATCAGGTTTGAATACACATCACCATTTTTCAAAACTAACAGCTTGCAGAAGGCTGTCTTGGTAATTGTAGTTTTGTGACCATGGACATTGATGTTCATCACATCCATCTGCTTGTTAAAATTTGTTGTAGCATAAGCCAAAATTAGGGTTGGAAGAGGAACTTCTTGATGATTAGTTAATGCCTTTTTCAAAATTGAACGATTCAGACATTCAATCATTGGTTGCACTTCAGTTGAGTACTTTGAGGCATCAAGTTCATCAACCATATTATGATGTTGCTTGACAAAGAGTTGAATAAATGAGGCGTATTGATCAATGAATGAAACGCGATCATCATAAGACTCCATTTATAATCGATGAAAAGAAACACATAGAGAATTGAAGAATATAGAATAATTTCTTGCAATTCTCTTGAATCGTATGAATACGTAAAGATGTTAACTGTGTGCAATTTGGGTATTTATACGTAGTAGAATGGAAAACGTTTATTTTGAATTTGAAATGTATAGGATTGTAGGAGAGAAAAACCGCCAAAGTCATGCCATAAATGCATGTCCTATCCCACGGCAGGAGTATCATGCCTATCATCACGTTAAAGAGGTCAAATAAGAACTTTCCAGCTCAACATATCTTCAACTCAAATAAAACAACTATCTTCCAATATGTTCACAGAAAAGTATTCATATAATAATCACAAAATATCTACTCCAAATATAGAAACATGCCAATTAGGTTTGTAGCAGTTTTGTAAGAACTGAGTCCACCCTTCAATATTGCATATATTGAAATAATATCCATTGGAGTTACGAATAGTGTTACCTTAAAGAAAATTCCATATCGTAACCAGAACAAGGTAAAGAGGAGTCTCATCACAACCATGGAAATAATGATTGGACACATAAACCAAAATTGCTAAAATCTTGGTTCAAGTTCGTCGTACTTGAGACCTTGAGGATTTTAAGGTCAAGAGTGTTCCAAGGAAAAAGATATAACCAAACAAAATTATAGCAATTTCTGATATCAAAAATAACTTTTGATATGAAAGAAGTGTGATCCATGGCAAAGATTATATTCTTTCAAAGTCAAGAGCGACCTTGAAGTGTCAATGTGGTTTCTCATTGGATCCATTTGGAAGAAATAATTTGGAATAAATTATTCTCATTAAGATCACGCAAAAGAATAAAATTATAAGATTTTGAATTTTATACTAACGCATAGTGAAACCTAAAGCGTTTCTCTGTCAATTCGTAGTTTCATGCTAGAATTTTGCAATTCACTATCAATTCATTAGTTTCATGCTAGAATTTTTCAATTCACCATCAATTCATAGTGGTTTAGAAATTGTGAAACTTATGTTCAAGTTGGTTTAAACATGAGACGTCATGGGTTTCAAAGATTGGTTAAGAAGAATGGTAGTACCTCTGTTACTGAAAATTAGTGACAAAGCAGACATGTCTAAACTCCGAACATTAGTAGAGAAAGGTAGCTTGACGATTTCTACTAATACTACCTATTTGGAAGAAATTATTTGAATCAATAAATTTTATTAATGCTTCACAAACAGAGAATCTATGGGGCTTGGGACAATATGTTGCAACATGCTTATAGGGATATTGAATGTTTATGACAGTGTGAAACACAAAATGTTTCCCGTTAATTCCTTGTTCCATCAATTCCTTGTTTTAGATCAGAACAAATTAATGTTAACATTAAATTAAAAAAAAAATTTGGTTTTTGAAAAAAATAAGAAAATATTTTTGGATTTTCCAAAAAAAAAAATCGAAATACAAAATCTTTTTGGAATTTTGAAAATTTTAAGAAAGAAAAATATTTTGTATTTTGAAAAATTTTAAGAAACAAAACTAAAATTTCGATGGGCTATGAATGATCTCAGGTCATCGTATATGAAAAGTAACATAACGAACTGAAAATGTGAAAACAAATGAGCTATGACTGGTTTTGAATGATCGCAATCAGTCGCCAATGGACATTAACTATCAGAAATAAGAAAACTAGGAATGAACAAAGATAAGAACAAGTACATGTTGCGATGCCCTACGAACGTTCACATCCATTCACATATGAACAATAACTTCTCGTAGTTTCATTTTGAATTTGAATTAGGAACTGATTATGCTTCCATCATTCCCAATCCATGAGGAATTCGATTGAAAGTTACCACCGATAAAGATTTTGTGAATATGTCTTCTGATAACGTTTATTTTATACATATATTTCCGACGTTTTCTTATTATTTTATACTATGTTTTTATATTATTTGGAACTAAAAGGTACTTAAAATTCTTTGAATTATTGTTTACAAATATAACATGTTGCTAGAGCGAAAAGGAAGCAAATGGAGCTGAAAGAGACACAAAAAGGATGTTGTTGGACAGCTTCACCCATCGTCAGTGTTTTGGCTACACCTCATGACTCGTAACTCCGATTGACGATTCAAAATGTTCTGAAAACTAGACAAAATTTCGGACGGCTTTCATGTTTTGAGAAAATGCTGATTCTCAGTTCCCACGCTGTGGCAAAGCGTTTCCACAGCGTGGCAAATCAAGAAATTTCGTGGACGCAAACAAAATAGCTTTCACGGCGTGACAACTATTTCTCCACACCGTGGCGCTGAAACCCATAAATAGAGCCAAAAATTAGTACTAATGATATATCTTGAACCCTAGAAGGCGGTCGGAGGGCCGTTAAGTTGATTTGGAGTGAAGATCTGAAGGATTAGAGAGCCGATTCATGTTGGGTATCATTCGGTTTGTTGTTCCAACCACGATTAGCATTTCATAATGATTTTCATATGTTTTACTTTCTGATTTAGGCTTCAAAACCCTATTGCTTTGTGTTAGAATAGATCAATCATTGAGATTATGGATTAATTTGCTATTCAGAGTATTTATTCTTATTTATTTGTTTATTTATGTTTGCTTGATAAAAGATCCTCATGTGTTAAAGTTTTAATCTATTATGTTTATTGTTGAGTATTATTGGGATTAGCTTATCATTTTATCTTGATGTGTTTGAATCATATGAATCGATGATCATTAGGTTTTTATGATTATGATTTTGACCATAAACCTAGGATTAAATAGAAAAGTTGGTAATTTTATTTTGTGAGCTTATATGTGATGATCATTCATGTATATAATTGGTGTTATGAACATTAATATCAGTTGATAATTCAAGATTTGCATAATTCGAACTAAACACTGGTTTGCAAGATTATTTGTTCACTTGATCACTGAGTTAATAGTTTTGTTAAAATCAAAGGATTAGTAATCTGATCATCAGGCTAGTCATATTAGGAATTAGTGAATACTGAATAAATATCCATTTCACTTAGTAGTTAGCCAGTATTTTGATATGAAATCCAATCCCAACTAAAGTACCCAAAGTGATTTGTTTCCATTAAGTTTATCTAGTTAGTTTACCTGTTTATTGAATTGAGATTTTAGAATCATAAACCCCCACTTTTATTGCATTCTATTATTTAGTGTAACTTATAATAAAAAAATCCAAATTAGTTCACTACCGTTCCCCAAGTGTTATACACCTGTGTAACATCAATAAAATCAAGCCAAATTTGAACTTTTTAAAACATTTAGAAACCAATAGTTATTACAAATATGTTTTCAAAATAGTTCCATATCAAAGTATCCTAGAAACATAGTCATAAAATGTGAGGAGATGTACGATCACGCCTTTGCCTTTCCGCGATCATCTGAGGTACCTGAAACCAAAACTGAAACTGTAAGCCCGAAGCTTAGTGAGTTCCCCCAAAATACCCATACACAAAACAATACACATATAAACACAAACAACATACTATGGGTCCAATCAACCATCGGGTTGGAATACCCCAGGCCCTCAACCATCGGGTTGGAATGCCACTCACACTATAGGTCCAGTCATGCTCGGGATGGAATACCGCATGCCCAAAACCATCGGATTGGAATTCCCTCATACTACGAGTCCAATCATCCTCGGGATGGAATACTCACGGCCCACAACCATCGGGTTGGAATGCCTAGGTCTGTTGGCTCTCGCACAAAGCAGATGAGCCTCAACCACCAATCATCATGTGCACATATATCAGATAATCACATAACAGTCTATAGACATACAAACCGATCTAACTGATCATAAAAGCATAACATCATCCGATCTACCAGGATACTGATCTACAGATCATAGCAACATAATACCATCCTCTCTACCAGGATGCTAATCTAACAGCTCATACTAGCATTACATATGAGAGTCGCAATCAAAAAGGGCCGGCGTTGGTTCCTTAGACCCTTGAGCATAGTGAGGAAAACTCACCTCACAACTGTCGAACTGAAATGATAAGCTCAAACTATCGAACCACCGCCACTACTCCACTACCTATAGTTACCTGTTGGGTATAGAATATTGCGTCATTGGGCTTTTTGCTTTAGTCCATTCTATATACGGTTTTGGGCCTGTCCAACCGTCATTTATTAGGGTTATATTATCTATATATAGTGCATGCATGAACCGTGTATGAGCTAGTCGTTGATTTCATTATTGTAACCCTACCACACCTCTACAGTAGCAATTCTTAATAGAGTTCTTCTGAGGTTGTGGCTTATT